TAAAATGTAAATAGAGACTTTTCTAAATATCTAAGTTTTGAATAATATATGATATTAAAAAATATTCTCATTCTGGCCAGTGTGGATCAGTGGTTAGAGCGTCAGCCTGCGTACTGAATGGTTTCAGGTTCCATTCCTGGTCAAGGGTTGTAGGTTCAATCCCTGGCCCCAGTGGGGGCTTATGTGGGAGGCAACCAATCTGTTTCCCTCTCTCACATCAGTGTTTCTCATTCTCTCTGTCTCTGTCTCTTTCTCTTCTTCCCTTCCTTTCTACCTTCCACTCTCTAAAAAGCAATGGAAAAAAATAACCTTGGGTAAGGATTGAAGAAAAAGATACTGTCAAACATTCAAGAGCCTTGGAGATATGCTTACCTATTTTCTTGAATAAAATGACTTAAACATGTACTATTACTATACAACTGCTCATTATGTCTTCTTTAACCGTTTGAGTCCCAAGCATGCGATCGCGCTGCTTGGTATTTCTCGACATAAAATAAAACAAGCGCTATCACGCTGTTTGGGTCTTTTCGTACTCATTTAGAGAAAGTGCAGTTGTGCTGTTTGGGATTCTTCGACAGTGTTTTTTCAATACCCCCTGGGACTCAAACGAATCGTATGTTTTCTCGACATAAAATCTCAGCAGCGCAATCACGCTGCTTGGGACTCAAACGGTTAAGAAAAATATTCCTACCTCTGGGAGTCTTTGTATTGTCAGCTTGGCTAGGTTGAACTACATTTCCAAGAATTTTCCTTTGCATATATTTCTAGTTAGAGACACTTGTGGAAGACTTGAAGGGCAAAATGAAGCAGCATTTTGTAGCTCACACACATTGTCTCTGATCTACTAGCTCATCTTATAGGCCTGAGGCATGACCAAGTCTGAAAGGACATCTCCTGGATCTTTAGCCTCTCTTACGTCTTGGTCAGGTGACTGTGTTTATCTCTGTAACAAAGAATCCAGTCTTCTGAAGGACATGCCTACCATCTAGGTCATAGATACCAAGAACTGACACAGATATAAGTCTGCCCCATGGCCTTCAGTTTGTCCCAGTGTGACCCAGATTGTTCTTGCTCTCCCTCATGCTACGTTCATTTTTCCTTCTTGACTTTATGCCTTGTGGACTTCAAGTTCCAGAATCAGATCGAAAGAAAATAGCTCCTCACAAGGAGGTGAGATGGCCAGATTCCTGGTTCATAAGTAGAACCTCAACTACTAAGCCACACCAGCCAGACTATCCTATATAATAAAAGGCTAATATGCAAATTGACCAAACGGTTGCTATGATGCCCACTGACCACGAAGGGGCAGATGCTCAACGCAGGAGCTGCCCCCTGATGGTCAATGCTCTCCCACAGGGGGAGCGCCGCTCAGCCAGAAGCCAGGCTCATGGCTGGCAAGCGCAGCATCTGTGGGGGGGAGCCTTTCCTGCCTCCATGGCAGTGCTAAAGATGTCCAACTGCCAGCTTAGGCCCACTCCCCCAAGGGGACATCCCCCGAGGGCTCCCAGGCTGTGAGAGGGTGCAGGCCGGGCTGAGGGAGCCCTCCCCCGCTAAGTGCACGAATTTCGTGCACTGGGCCATATATATATATATTAACCCCCACCCAGGGTTAACTGTCAAAGGACAGTTTTTCCATTGATTTCTAGAGAGAGTGATGGTAGAGAGGGAGGGAGAAAGGGAGAGAAACATTGATGCAAGAGAGACACATCAATTGGTTGTCACCTGCACACTCCCAGACTGGGGCCGGGGATTGAACCTGCAACCCATACACATCCCCTTGACCATGAGTTGAACCTGTGACCCTTCAATGTGCAGACTGATGCTCTAAACACTGTGACACATTGGCCACAGGTGTAATGTCCTTCATTGTCTCTTGTTATGCCCTTTGTTTTGAAGCCTATTTTATCTGATATAATTATTGCTATCTCAGCTTTCTTCCCCATTTCCACTTGCATGAAATATCTTTTTCCATCCATTTACTTAGTCTCTGTGTATCTTTTATTATGAGGTGGCTCTCTTGTAGACAGAAAAATATGGGTCTCTTTTTCATATTCCTTCAGCTATACTATGTCTTTTGATTGGAGCATTTAAGTCATTTACATTTAAAGTGTATTGATAGGTACATATTTATTGCCATTTTATTTTTTTAACTATGTTATTCTGCTTTATTTTTCTTCCCTTCTCTTTCTTCTTAAACCAGGCCCTTTAACATTCCTTGTAATACTGATTTGGTAGTAATAAATTCCATTAGTTTTTTCTTATCTGGGAAGCTCTTAATTTCTCCTTCAATTTTAAATGATAGCCTTGCTGGGTAAAGTTGTCTTGGTTGTACGTTTGGACATATCTTTTTGAGGACATAACTTAAAACACTTCAGCTACATTCTGATTAATTTCCTCATACAAATGTTCCTCTTTATTAATCTCTCTCTAGTTGTATCAAATCTACTTAACATATTCATTTAAATTTCTAAATTTTTGTAATATTTTCAGTTTTCAAAATGTTTAGTCTTTAGTTTCTTCTGTGCACATATTTCAAGGCTGTTATTTATTTTTGTAAATAGAAAATATGACTGTTATATTTTGTGGGTCCTTTTCTATCATTTGTTGTTTCACTTGGTTCATAGTGCCTTATTTTCCCATTTTTATTTAAATTTACTACAGGTTTGATGCACGAAATTTGTGCAAGGGGCTTGGCCCTTGCGGCCCTGGCTTCGTCCGGAAGGGCATCCTGAAGGTTGTCTGGACGGTCATTCTGCTGTTTGGCCGTCTGGTCTAATTAGCATATTATGCTTTTATTATGATAGATTGGAGTAACATTGTTTAATAACATAAGTTTCAGTTGAACAACTTTATAATACCTCATCTGTATATTACATTGTGTGCTAGTCACCCAAAGTCTAGTCTTCTTTTGTCACCATACGTATTAACTTCTTTATCAACCCCCACCACTTTCCCCTATAGTAACCACCATACTGTTGTCTGTGTCTATGAGTTTGTTTTGTTTGTTCATTTGGTGCTTTTTGTTTTATATCTCACACATGGGTAAAATTATATAGTTCTTGTACTTTTTCATATGACTTATTTCACTTAGCATGATACTCTCAAGATCCATCCATGTTGTCACAAATGAGAATATTTCATCTTTTTTATGGCTGTGTAGTATTCCATTGTATATATTGTACCACATTTTATTTATCCAATCATGGGTCAAAGGACACTTAGGTTATTTTCACATCTTGGCTATTGTGAATAATGCTGCAATAAACCTAGGGGTACATGAGTGTTTTCAAATTTTTTGGTAGATACCCAGAAGAGGGATTGCTGGGCATATGGTAGCTCTATTCTTAATTTTTTGAGGAACTTCCATATTGTTTTCCATAGAGCCTGTACCAATTTACATTTAAATCAGCAGTGTACAAGGATTCTCTTTACAAAAGATGCTCTGATAAGGAGTTAGTATCCAAAATATATAAAGATCTCATACAGTTCAGCAGCAACAACAAAAACCAAAGAATCTATTTAAAAAATGAACAGAGGGCCTGAACAGACACTTTTTCCAAGAAGACATACAAATGACCAACAGACATATGAAAAGACACTCAAATTCACTAGCTATAAGGGGAATGCAAACCAAAACTACAATGAGACACCACCTCATACCTGTTAAAATGGTTATTATCAATAAAACAAGAAGTGACAAATGTTGGAGAGGATATGGAGAAAAGGGAACCCCCGCATACTGCTCATAGTGTCTTCTTTTCTCGTGTGTTTAGTGAATTTGACTGAGTAGTCTCATTTTTTTAAGGAAATGAAAAAATTTGCTTTTTTGAGGTTCATGGAAACCTGGTATTAAGTTGGTTCCTTCAGAAAATGTGTGAATTTTGTTTTTGCCAGAGCCTGGGATAACTTCTGGTTTGGGGTGCTTTAAATTTTTAGTTTGAAAGTTTGAGGATGATGCAGACACTCTTCATTTACACTTTACATCAACATGACAGCCAGGTTATGGTTTCAACTTCTTAAATGTTGCCTTCCTCTGCTAATTTGCCAAGTTTTAAACAAATTTTTATGTAATCTTTGGTGAAAAGGAGTGGTATTTATAGTTCACTCTTATACTAAAGTAGAGGCCTTTGGGGGTCTCTGACTTAAAAGAAAAAAGATCTCTACTTAAACTCCCCACCTTAAGTGGACACTGAAATTTGCCTCTTGCACTTTATGTGCTATGAGCCATGAAAACTGATACCCAAGTTGACCTAGTTTGGCAAACACCCTCAAATTTCTTTTACCTCTCTGGTTCACACCATCAGTAGGTCTCTGGCTTGTGTATTCCTTATTTTATTTCTAGCACAACAGTGGTCCTCATAAAATGTTTCAAAGCTTTAATCTAGCATTTTAGTTGTTTATAATGGGAAGTTTAGTCTAGTAATATTGTCTGTTGTCTTACCAGAAATAGAACTCCTTTTCTTTCTTAATCTATTTGTATATTTATTATTTTAGAAAATTGTCTATAGCACTTACATTTAAAAAAGTGATTGGCCTAAATTTTAAAAATCATATTCTGTTGCAGGCTTTAAAATCTTAACTGTGTATCTGAGGTTATGGCCCAATTTTTATTTATAGTTAATTTGTACATTTTTTTCTCTCTTTTTCTGACTTGATCAGGCCAGAGGTTAATAAAGGAAAAGATATAGATTATTAAAATAAAACATGATAAGATCTATGAAGTTTCTATGAGTGTGTTAGTTATGGAGGTGAACAGGGGAGACATTTTGTCAATATTTAAATGGGCACATGTATGTAAAGTTGTCAGCACATTGTCTCATACTTGGAAAGACCTCAATAGATATTAAACTTTATAGTACTAGGGAAACTTTCCTTAGATAAAGGGGAAGGTAGGAATTTGTTATGCAGCAATAGATAACTAGTATTCCTGGCTTGCTGGCAAGGCAATCAGTATGATTCATGGAACATGCATTTGAGATATAGGAATGGGAACGTAGTGATTGAGATCATATGCTATTTTATTTATTAAAGAGTTAAAATAGCGCATTAACAAAACCTTATGTGATAAAGAAAAAATATCAGAACTCTTCTGAATGTGAGTATCATCTGAACCACCAGAGATACTGGTCCTGGTGAATTCTTCCACAGTTATGTAAATCAAAGGCTAAGAGATTGGCTGAAGTCGGGATATGAATAACTGCATAGTTTCTTCTGGAAGGACAGAATGAATGAATAGGAAATTGAAATGAAACCCCACTATTTGTGAAGAGAGAATACTCTGTCATTCCCGTAGCCAAGGCCCACAGACAATGATCCAGTAAGTCTGGCCCCAGACATCCCTTCAGCTTGTGTCTTTCTTGACTTTGGAGTGAACTGGGCATGATTTAGAGCAGGGGTCCTCAAACTTTTTAAACAGGGGTCCAGTTCACTGTCCCTCAGACCGTCGGAGGGCCGGACTATAGTTTAAAAAAAAAACTATGAACAAATTCCTATGCACACTGCACATATCTTATTTTGAAGTAAAAAAACAAAACGGGAACAAATACAATATTTGTATTTGCATGTGGCCCGCGGGCCGTAGTTTGAGGACCCCTGATTTAGAGACTAGAGACCTGACAATGAGGAGATGCAAAAATTCGAGTCCTAGACCCATCCTTTGATCTTGAGCCATTAGCGCCACAGGTTCTCTCGGTCTCTCGTGTTTGAAAAATGCTCAGGTATTAGTGTCACCACGTCGAGTGGCATGGCTGCCACCATGAGTGGGTGAATGATATCCTGCTTCCAGAGATGGGAAATGCCAGTCCAACACCCTCTTCTCCGGTTGTGTGAGAAAGCGGTCAAAACAGGGAAGAGATGAGAGCGGGACAATGATGCCAGTCCGGGAGGTGATCATTTAGGGCTTCATGCTGTAGGTGGTTTTGGATTTCCAGAGATGAAACGAGTCTTTCCGGCAGAGGCAGTAGCAGGTCACAGCCCTAGGGCCTGGCTGGTTTTATCAATCTGGCAGTTCAGAGTCAGCGCAAAGGACATCCCCAACACCTAAGAAGAGTTGGGAAAATAGGAGATCTTTAACAGAAGAGGCCATCTCTCCCACAACCTCTGGCATCAGCCCCAAAGTAAGAGAAAGTATCCGTTATACTGAGACCATCTTTCCTGCTATCACTTTAAATTCCTTCTCAGGTGTTGTCTCCTTTAGCTTTAGAATGGCGGTGGGGAGACTAGTGGGCCTGATGCTGGCAAGACACGAGTATAGAGTCTGGGGACATCTCTTGTGTCCTTACGTCTTTAAGAAACCGTAAGAAGCCCTGCTGCTGGAACAGGCATGTTCTGCACAAGTCAGCGCCTCATGCAATATCTCTCCCTATGCCAGTCCCTAGGCCAGTGATGGCGAACCTATGACACGCGTGTCAGAGGTGACACACACACTCATTTTTTTGGTTGATTTTTCTTTGTTAAATGGCATTTAAATATATAAAATAAGTATCAAAAATATGTCTTTGTTTTACTATGGTTGCAAATATCAAAAAATTTCTATATGTGACGGCACCAGAGTTAAGTTAGGGTTTTTCAAAATGCTGACACGCCGAGCTCAAAAGGTTCGCCATCACTGCCCTATGCTCTAATCCTCCTTGGTTTCCAAGAGGAGAAAATTGGTTTTTCTCTGAGCTCCTTGATTAAGTCTTAGCTAATCTGTGACATACCCAAAATACGTGGGTATAAAAATGGTAGAAATATCACATAATATAAAAGAAGACAAAACTCTCCCCAGTTGATTCCTGCCTTGTCAAACTAAGCAGAGAAACAACAAGGAAATTAATTATAATTTTCATCATCAATTCCTGCTTAGCATATAAAGCCAATTTTTTTCAAGTCTGTCACAAGCTTTCCTCTTAAGGATAAGTTGACCAGATAGCTCTTATAGCATATTTTCTGTCTGCTTGAAATTGCTAATAACATTATTTGCTACTTGACTTGTGGAGCTCACATTGATTGAGCACATACTATGTAACTGGTACTGTTCAAAACTTTATATGACGTAACACATTTAATCCTGAAAATAGTCCTATGGTTAAGCTCTTACCTGGATCACACATACACAGATAGTGATGATGCCGATATACAGGAAGTTGGACTGAAACCACGATTTTGCTTTTATGTAGCAACCCTAGAAAAAATTACAAGTACAAATGATACCACTATATTATTCAACTCTATCAAGAGGCTTATTTGGGAAGATAGTTGTCTTTTGCCTTATGCCAAGAGACTTAAGCCAGGTGTTATATTTTTATTTTCTTTATATATAAAAATATAGTCATAAAGTAGAGAATATTGAACTGAAGATTTTTTTGGTGGTGTTATTATTACAATGATACCTTAAGTAGAAGTCTTAAATCCTCACACATGAGTTCAACTAACTCCTGAAAGGTATGTCAGCAACAGATGTCCTTATGTTCTTTGAACATTTACTGCTGACTTGAAATTAACAAACGGAAATGTAGGCAATGCAATGCTAGGATTGGTTGCGTTTCAGCTTCTGCTTCAAAAGCCAGTAAACCTATCAGGGTCCTACCAAGCTCCAGGGCAGTTGCTGGTTGGTAGGTGTCCCAGTCTTTCTTCAGACACCTAAAAAATTCCAGAGATTTCCAAACAACTCCAAGAGTGGGTAACATGGGGTAACAGGACCTTAAGGACTTGGTTGAGCTGGAAGATGATTTCGGCTGCCTCTCTGGGCCTAGTCTGGAGGTCCGAATCAAGTGGGCAGGTTGTTTCAACAGTTGCGCCAACTCCTGTCTCCCCCAACTTCTCACTCCTTCCCTTATGATTCATCTCACTAAGGGGCTGGATGCTGCCATCTCCAAGGAAGGAGGGCAGAGAAAGTGGTAGAGGGAGAAGCTTTTCTACCCCAACCTTACAGATTTCACTTTCAGCCATAAGGAGACCCACTTCTTGCTCAGGAGAAATCGAGACATGATCCTCTGCCACTAGCACATACACTTCGCCCTCTAATGTAATAGTGTAGGGCAGCACGATTCTCCATGATGTCTCTAGTCTGAATGATCTTGTTTTTTGTTGTTTTGTTTTCCGATTTGTCTGGTTACCTGGGTTGTCTCCCTGGTCTCTATTTTGTTCAAGGTTCCCTGTTTCTGGCTGGGAGGACTAGGTCCCATATGACTGGAGTTTCTAAGGTAATTAATCATTCTATTAAATAGGCAATAACAGAAACGTTGCCCCAAATTACCTTAACTTGTGGATCTTTAGGGCAAGTAGCTGGTGGGCCGCCGGTCCAATCACTTGTGCCATTTACACCACAACATTGCAGCTGAAAACCAAGCCCCCCCAAAGATACGATTGTTAGAAAGTCAACAGAATGAAAATGTGGGCCTTGGAGAAAAGTGGGCCCTTCATATCTGACTGTGTAGCAGAAAATCCAGAATTGGCCTGACTACTACAGCTCCTGAGACAAAATGCTTTCAAATCCATCATACCATTGCATTCACAGAGACTCCTCAAAGTTAAGAGGGCACGTTTACTTTATTCACACTTTACAGATCAAAAATGAGACACACAGGGGCCTCTATAATGGAGGGATCAGGCTGATCTACCTACACCCACCAGCCCGTCTTGAGATCACAGAAAGTAAGACAATCAGACATTGGAAGCAATGAAGATGTCCTTTAGTAGGGGAATGGATAAATAAGCTGTGGTATATCCAGACAATGGAATATTATTCGGCACTAAAAAGAAATGAACTATCAAGCCATGGGAAGACATGGAGGACCCTGAAATGCATATGACTGAGTGACAGAAGCCAATTTGAAAAGACTATCTACTGTATGATTCCAACTATATGACATTCTGGAAAAGGCCAAACTATGGAGACAGTAGAAAGATCAGTGGTTGCCAAGGATGGGAGTAGGACGGGTGGGGAATGTGCAGCCTGTGGGCCATATAAAGCCTGTGAAATCATTTGGTCTGGCCCTGCCAAGGCTTTAGGGGTGAGTTTATTAAATGTTGGACCACATACAGCAGGCTAATTTTTAAGTTGCTAATTTGTATGGCCCATGAATGATGTTATAAATATCCAATGGCCCTCGGCAGAAAAAAAGGTTCCTCACCCTGGAGTAGGAGGAGAGATAAACAGGTGGAGCACAGAGGATTTTCAGGGCAGTGAAATTACTCTGTATGATACTATAGTGATGGGCATATGTCAATATACATTTGTCCATACGCATAGAATGTACAAGACAGAGTGAATTCTAATGTAGACTATGGACTATGGGTGATAGTGATGTGTAAATGTAGATTGATCCTTGGTTTTAAAAAAAAAGAATTATTCTGTTGATAATGGGGAAATGCATGTGTGGGGACAGATGGTATATGGGAAATCTCTGTACCTCTCTCTGTTCTGTTTAAACCTAAAACTGCTCTAAAAATTTAAGTTCTTAAAAAAAAAGGCTATTATCTTTATATTGAGTGGGTAAGATGATGTAACATCTAGTATTTGCTTTAATATATTCTAGCAAAAAAAAGCAGAGGGGATTAGCTGAGACAGTGGCAAAATATTAACTATTGAAGCTGGGTGATTTGTACCCAGAAACCCATTTTGCTATTCTTCTGTTTATTTTTAGATATTCCAGAGAACTCTCTAATAAAGAGACTTCTAAAGCGAATTGAAAAATAAAGAACTGGGGACTCAGAGAGGTTAAATGACTTCCTCAAGGTCAACCAGCCCTGGTCTGGCTCTATTTCCTGTGCTGCTGCTTCTCCACACTGAGCAGGCACAGCAGGACCACGGCCCCATGTGGCCACAGTGGTGGTGTCTGCGACACAGACTATGCCAGTGCCAGGCTGGCTCCCTCACCCTTCTGTGTCCCCCAACACACCAAGGCAGGGAGGCAGAGTTAATGTAGGTATTCGTGGATGGGGTGGGGGAATGAGGAATGGTGTGCTGATGGGCTAGGTATCAAGCAGGATTTGGGCTACTTAGGAATTCAAAAGAGATTTCTTGTATTATATCATTTCTGTTTTCAGGGAAATTTTGGAAAAGACGCAAACTAATCTAGTATGACACGTTTGGGTCTTCCTTAGTAGGACTTAACCCATGAGCCTATCTGAGTTGGTGAAGGATGAGAGAGAGACTGTAGACAACCCGATTCATCTTCTTTATGTTATGACCCACACGTAAATAAGATTACCCAAATGACTTAAGGAAGAACCAAGGTGATTCTTGGCAAGCATATTCTGGACCTGCCCTAGGGGCAATGGACCTTAGATTCTGAAACTCCCAGGAAAGGAAGTGCCTTTTAGCCTCCAGGGACCGAGGTTGGAGAACGGAAGTCAGGGTTGAGCTGGGGAGGGGCCCATCTGCACTCACAAACTTCTGGATGGAGTCCCACGCCGCCCTGGTGCTGTTGTCCGAGTGATATCGCTGGATGCTGTCAGTCAGGCCCTCCCGCACCGAATCGCTCAGCTGCACAGGGCGCATGCCAGCAGGGAGACAGTGTGAAAAGCAGGTGAGTTCAAGGAACAAGGAATTTCTAGGAGAGTTGAGCGGTCCCATTTGCCCCTCCCTTCCAAAGGGTCTCCTCAGAGCTACGGAAGGGAGTGGGGAGGTCCTGGATATTTTTTTTTGCATGGGAAGAAGTGCTGAGGGTGAGATGGCACTGAAGGAGGAAGCGCACAGCGGTCACTTGTGCTTCCAGAACTCTTTTAAAGGAGGAGAGGGCCAGTCAGAGCCGTGGCTCTCAGGCACATTCTGTATTGCCAACCCATGGAGCAAAGTAGGCTGGAGGAAGATAGACTTACTTCCACTCTTCTTCCTTCTTATCCTTCAAAGAACCACACACATGCAATATCCTTCAGGAATTTTTTTTATCTCCCCAATTATAATTAATCTCTTTCCTCCATCCTTCCACTTTCTTCTACCTCTAATTGTAGGACTTATTTTGTGCCACCTTCTTCTCCACGGCCCACTCCCCATGCTCTGCAATAGGATAAGGCGCTGTGCTCTGTATAACTTACCTTCTGTTCATACACGAAGAGCAGGATGGCCAAGGTCACCTCAGCGAGGAGGATGATCAACAGCAGGACAAAGAACTGGGGCAAAGCAGAGACATGCTCATAGCACAGAGCCCAGGTCTTCCCCTGTTCCCACTGCATCCTGGGAGCATCCAGTCACGTCTCCGCACAGGTGCAGGAGGTTCTTGTTCCTGCCTGTTGAGCCTTCACAAACCCCCTCTTGTCTTGTGAGGAATATGTATTCTTTTCCTACAACTAGATTCCAAGACTCTAGAGGGCAGATCAGCTGTCTTCTTTGTTGTTCCCTTCCCATGTGTGTACCGAGCTCCGTGTGCATAATGTATATGCAATACCATTTGTCGAGTCAATGAAACCATTTTGGCATTAGCCTATCCACACAGTGTCTTTAGAGTCTGGGGCCTGGTCCCTTCTGCAAGAGCAGGGCTATGTGTACAGATGGGGAGAATATGAATTAGAACCTGCCATCATGGTCTAATTCATATTTATCTTCAACTTTGGATGCCGATTCCCTTTGTGTTAATCACATTCACACTTACACTTATTCCCTTTCCTTTATCTTTTTACCCCAACATGAATCTTGACTACTTAAAACCTTTCCCCATGCCTGTTATGTTCCACCTTTTGCCATTAGTCCGGGAACTATCTGAGAACTGGGACTTTTTTATTCTCTCTCTGGACTCCAGTTTCAGAGCTGGCCCATAACGGAAAGAAGATGAACCAAATGACTTAAAGAAGAACCAAGTGATTCTTCTTTAAGTGACTGGGAACCAGACCAAGCTCTGATCTGGGCACACAAGAGAAACGGGGAGCTCTTCTTTCCGAGCGCTTAGAGGCTAGACCTAAGCTTAAAGGTGCTCCTCTGGATAGTTAGCAGCCCGAGGCCAACCGGAAGCTCTGCTATCCCTCACGGTAGACCTCAGTGGCTGCAGCCTAGGCCCTCGCCTAAACCAGGTCATTCTCACTATGGCGTATCCTGTGCAGACAGGAGCGAGGGAAGCATCGCTGCCATTTTTAGGAGGGTCACAGCACTCAGAAGAATCTAGCGACTAGATTTTCCATTAGTTAGTGACTCCGAAAATATAGACTGATGCCAGGAGGATTTAGGCAGGTGCCAACCTTATGCTTCTGAGATGCCAGTCTCCTGCTCCTCTGATTTCCCTGTGCCCATAGGTGAGCTGCCAAAACACATCTTGCCTGGGCCTTAAGTCATGAAGTTCCCCCTCCCCCCGCCCCCACACACACTTAGGGCACCACCTCTCCTGCGAGAGACTCACCGACATGAGCAGGCACTTGTTCTCCTTGATGGAGCCCATGCATCCCAGGAAAGCAACCACCATGATGATGGAGCCCACGATGACAAGCACATTGCCCAGCGTGAGGGAGGGGAGGTTGTGGAAGAGGGCCCCGAAGTTGTTGTGGACCAAGAAGTAGATCCCGAAGCCCAAAATGCAGCAGCCGCAGAACTGAAAGGAAGAAGGCCACAGCATCCTGAGATAAAACATGGTCCTCGGGGATCTCCTCATATTCTCATTTACTTGAGATTAGAATCACCCTTTTCCATTGGCTTCATCAGGACTCTGATGAACAACCTCTTTCCCCTGGAAAAGGGGTGGTCCTAGCTTCTTCCTGTGATGTCCCACTCAGGCCTCATCCTACCCATATCAGACACCAGGGGAAGCTCACTCCTGTGGGTAGCACAGTATTTTCAGGCTTCAGATTCCTACTCCTTTGCCCCTCAACTGCTTACACATGGTCTTCCCTTTGGAAACCACAACCATGTCGAGTGGAGGCCCTGTTTCAGAAGTTCATCTTGCGAGGCAGAAAACTGGAGAGGCCAACTTCTAAGGATGTTCTCATAGAAACATGAATACCAACTCATGTCTGAAATTCATTTGCTAAGTTTGGTACAGTGAAACCTCCCCAGAGAAGGTGGCTTTCCTTTCAATCAGCTCTTCTAAGATGTCCAGGGGGGCACATAACATCTAGGAAAAAAGAGGCACTCAATACACAGTGTAGAGTCTCTGGTTTCTTACCCATAGATGTCAGCAGTGAGTGGTAATAACCTAAAGTCCCCAGAGAAACAGCACCCCCTTCATATTGATACCGTTCAATTTTGGGTTATATGCTGTGTCAGGATGCCGAGAGGGGAGGAAAGTGTCATTCCCTTCTTCTTAGGCTAGGTAGACTGCACATGACGCAGGCGTGCGTGAATTCACTCCACACAATGCTCTTCAGCAGAGGAGAGAGAGGTAGAGCATACCTGGGCGGAGGCGAGCTCAGCCATGCTCAGAAGAGGCTCACTTACCCAAAAGAGCAAGTTGAAGAAAAACAGGACATACTTCAGCAATTTCAAGCTGCTCATGCCCATCCTGGGATATTCTTGCACTAAAAAGGAGAAGGCAATAAAGACAATGTAAGTGACCCGGTTCAGCGGGCACAAATATTCAGTTCAAGGATCTCTAGCATTACCTTGGGTTTGAGCTGTGACTCTTCTCTGGAAAGTTTCCCCAAACTTCCTGCTCTCTTAGTCTCTGAGCTGAGGTACCAATTGGCTCATCTCGGACACTCACCTTTGCTTCAATTCATCAAGCCAAGGATGCTTAACATTGAATTAAGCGCGGTAGGAGTAAGCAATAGAGCCAGGAGGGCAGGTCACAGTGACACAGTGTCCCAGTGCTCAGGGACTAGTGCCTGGGTACTTACTCAAGAAGGCAGCGCCGAGGTCAGGGCGAGGCTGGTCAGTTAGCTGTGGACATGGCTGGTGCCTTGATCAGCCAGTCCCTTAAGTGCCCTGAGATGCACCTATACACTACATGTAGTCTACATACCTCTTCACATGGAAGTGGGGGAACATACTTATGCCTCATTTATTCTTTTACTGAAGACGCTGATGGTGTTTTTTGTTCTAAGATGCTGTGGGAGAAGCAACTGTAACCAAGCAGTAGCTACCCTCCAGGAGCTGTCAATCTTACAGTAGAGCTAAAACTGGCCAACAACTGTCCAGTGGAACAATGAAAGAAGACAGCAATGAAAATGAAAACTTTTTAAAAATATGTATTTTTATTGATTTCAGAAGAAGGGAGAGAGAGAGAGAGAGAAACATCAATGATGAGAGAGAATCATTGATCGGCTGCCTCCTGCATGCCCCCTACCGGGATCAAGTCCAAAACCCAGGCATATGCCCCAGCAGGGAATTGAACCATGACCTCCTGGTTCATAGGTCAAAGTTCAACCACTGAGCCACGCTGGCCAGGCAAAAACTTTTTTAAAAAATAGATGTGTTTTTTTTTTCCTTGATGAGGAGGACATCAGTGTTCAAAGTCTAGTCCTCAATTCTAGAGATCCAGACACACAATTTTTAATTTCTCTCAGTGATAACGGGGCATAGATGAACTCAACAGCAACCACAGATAATACCTTAATCAATAAGGAAACAAAATTAAAAATAAAACAAACAAAACCTCAATGGCAAGAAAGCAAACAATGCCATTTAAAAATGGGCAAAAGAGCTGAACAGATACTTCACCAAAGATACGCAGATGGCAAATAAGTAAATGATAAAGCACTCTACTCCAGTAGTCATGCAGGAAATGTAAATTAAAACCACAACGAGGTACCAGGGTCCACCTCCTAGAATGACTAAAAGAAGAGAAAAGAAAAACAGCCGAGCCTACCAAGGGTGGATGAGGATGTGGTGGAACTGGGACTCATGCGCTGCGGGTGAGAATGGAAAAGGGCACATCCACTTTGAAAAACCGTTGGCCAGTTTAGTAAAAAGTGAAACATAACTCTTATCAAATGATCTAGCCATCCTACCCAAGGTCTTTACCCAAGACAAATGAACACATACGCCCATACAAAGACTTGTACAGAAATGTTTATAGCAGCTTTATTTGTAATAGCCCAAATCTGGAAACAATCCGAAGGTCCATCAATAGGTGAGGGGATAAATAAACTGCGGTACAACTATGTCATGGTAAACTACTCGGGTATAAGAAAGAATGAACTGCCAACACATGGTACCGCATAGATGAACTCAAAAATAATTATGGAGAGTGAAAGAAGCTCAACATAAAAAATAAATACGCTATGATTCCAGTTACATCAAATTTTAGAAAACAAAAGCTAACCTATAGCAACAAAGAGCAGATGATAAATTGCTTGGGAGGTGGAGGTAAAGAAGAGGGGGAGTAAGGAAGGGCAAGAGAAAGGGTTGCAAAGACCACACATATTCCTGGGGGAGTCATGCATGTCATCTTGACTGTAGGGACGGTTTCAGCACGTATACATATGTCAAAGGCCCTTGCTAATTTGCACCTGCCCATCTCTCCAAACTCGTGGCAACAGTCCCTGTCTTATACTTTAAAACTTAACAAGTGACATTGACTATTTGTCACTACCCTTCCTTCCTTAGCTTGGCTCACGTGGTTTCCTGGAATTGCCCCTTTCTCTCTCTCTGACCCCTCAATTTGGTGAGCAGTTAATCACCCTGAGACTCAGGTCACTTGTTGTCACTTTCCCAGGAAGCCTTCTCCGATTCTGATTCTTCGTGCCCAACCCCCGCTCCCACAGGGTGACACTGTGCAGCTCCGGTATTGTCCTGAGCACCTTGCTTTGTAATGATCCCTCCCGTCACTAGAATGGGAGCTCCTTGAGCGTAGGAGCTGGTTTATTTACCTTCGGACCCTCAAGGCCTAGCACAGAACCTGATTACTCTTAAAAATAACTAAGATTGTTGGATGAACAAAGGACTGGAATTTTCCTCCTTGACCCTAAATAATCCAGTGAGTGCAATGACCATGACATTGCAGCGTCAGGAGCCTTGGGCTTAAGATTTATTCTGCCAGTAAACTAATCTTTTGGGCACCGGCAAATAGCTTACCCCGAAGGAGATGGGGCCAATGCCCCCTGGAGTCACCTCCTCCCCACCAACCTGGGATCCTGTGACAACTGCTTCAGGTCCCTGTCATCGCCTTGCCCACAGAGCACCCACTGAGGAGGTGCCCACAAACCTGGGGATCTCCCCACTGATTCTTTCCTTCGCAGACGGGAGGTAGGACCTCTGCTTTCTCCTCTCTGGTTTTCCCACTTACTCACACTCACCTCAACTGAGGGAGAAAAGCTGCCCATTTGGTAAGATCAGCATTACTGTTACCACTTGCATGGATGGCCCCAGCTCTCCCGGAAACCCAGAGCCCGCGCCACCCCCCCAACACCCCCCCCCCCCAGCCTTCCTTCACTGCGATGGGCCAGTTATTGAGCTCCCGCCCCTTCACTCCTGCCAACCCCACCGCCTGGGAGACCCCACACCCTCCACAGTCAAGGTCGCCACACCCAGCCCCATGCCCCAGGGCTCTGCAGAGTAATTCTATGACGTCAGTTTCCAGGAAAGCTCCGTGATTGAACTGCAGCCAGCTGTGGTCACCTCCCACGGCCCAACGTGGAGGCCACAGAGGAAGTTACCCTTGCTTTCCTCCCAGCAGAGCACTGGGGCAGGTAGAGTCTTGTGGAGTTCTAGCTCAATCTCTCTCTTTGCTCTGACCCACACCTGCTCCATCTAATCTGGTCTTGAGTTTAATCCAGTTTAGCGGTGGCTAAGGTTGGACGGAAGGAAGTCTTGAGAAACTATCCGTCCTTGATCTCCAGCCTTATCTGATCTGATCTTAGAGACCAGTCTTGAGTCACAGCAAGACAGCTGTGGTGTCACACTGACTGTGACATTTATGAGATGTTAATAGGTGTCCCTCAGACACAAACAAACAATCAATAGGGAGCGAGAGGAATCGACTGGTCAAATAATTTTGGAAGTAAATGGGACTAAAAGACTGAGATTCTACCACAGAATCTTCTTTTAGGAGAACAAACCATGGGATCATTCTTTAATGCCTCTGTTTGCTTGTGATACAGAGTGAATATGGAGCCATGAGTTCAAATTTACTTGAACACCTTTCAAAAGATGTGAGATGTCAAAATCATTCCTCAACTAGTTCTGAAATGGGAAATGTCAAACAAAAGTTTGACAAATTAAACCTACATTAAATCTATGATCTTAAATTATTAAACATATTGATTTCAAATCACCTGGATTTGTAGTTAAGTTATATTTTTATTTTGCTTATGTTAAAATGCACTGGAAATGCCTTTATGTGAAGAAGGAACACAGTCCAATGATGCCTATTTAGTGAGAACCCTACGAGAAAAGGGAGTATCATGTCGTGTGGCGGAAAGAGCATTCCACAGACAGGCAGGTAATATTCTAAATAGTTAAGAGGGTTTATGGCTTTGGACAAGTCACCTTAACTGAAAAGTAAGTCGATGGGAATGTCCTAATGGCTAATCTGTGCTGGGCTCTCATGGTGAGTTGGGTGCTTTATTTGAACCATCACAATCTCCAAATTAAGTAACAACATCCTAATAAATACTTGGCCGACAACACTCCTATTTTAAATAATTCTAGAAGTGTATCCTTGTGGCACCCTTTCTCTACAACAGTTCTTGGCCAGTACAGGGGATGTATCGCTGCTGCTGCTGCTGCTGCTGCTGCTGCTGCTGCTGTGGCTGGGCGGGAGGGGGTGGGGGGGGAGTCCACGTGTGCTGGTGAAATGGGGCGGGGGGGCGAGGCCTTGCCTCTGTATCCCCTCACGGAGACGCACGGCCTCCACTCTGCGCGCTCACCCACTGGTTTTAGAAACATGTCGTCTGCCTCTTTCCCACCCTCGCCTGCCAAGGCCCCCCCGCCCCCCCTCCCCGCCCCCCGCATGCTCCGGCTGCCATCTCTGCTCCTGTGCCCCAGCAGCCACCGGAGGCCGCTCGGCACTGCTGTCTCATTTCTCTGTGACTTGGCTTCGGCGCTCGGCACCTGCAGGGACAGCTGGGCCCCGGAGCTTCCCGAGGACAAGTGCCCAGTGTCTAGGCCCCGGTGATGGGCCTGCATCACACGCTCACTCGGTACAGGAAGTGCCGTGGACTGAATAATGTGGGAGCATGAACCAAACCACCGAAACTGAACCAGCACCGCGCTTCCTGGAGCAGAAGCGGAGGGAGAGAGTGGCTGGAACCTCGCACACAGCTCCACCCTTCGCTCTAACCGAGGCCAGATCTAGGTCGAGGAGGAAAGCAGGAAAGCATCTGCCTCTTCACCCTCACGTCAGCCCCGTCTCATCCATGCTGCCACGTGGCTGTCTCCGGGGAGACAACCCCCCCACCCCCCCCACCAGAGGCCGAGGACCTGCCTGGCTACTGACCATGCCTTCCACCCAGGGACTGGGATGCTAGAATCCAAGTAAGGCAAAGAGATTTCCACTTCCCGTGGCCCCGCAACCACGGCTTGTTACACCCCAGCCTGGCCTGCTCTCCGTTCTCGCATGCCTGGGGCGCACCGGTCTTGGGGCTGCGTTGCTGGGTTCTGTCTGGAATGCCATTACCCCAGTCTCCGTAGAGACCCAGACTTCTCTGAAAAGGACCCCGAGCGGCCCCCCTCTCCCAGGGAGTCCTGGGCACGCTCCCCCACGCCTCCATTCTGTGCACACTGTCCCACTTATTGTCAAAAAGATCACACTGTGTGGTGTGAGCTGTATCTGTGCCTGTCCTCCGTGCTAGACTCTACGTGCGCCTTGAACTTGAGAACCACACCCGTTAGTTAGCCGTGTCTCCAGCACCGAGCACAAGGCCTAGGCCCTGGGAGCGAGGCGAGGAACAGGCCTCGGCCGAGGTCTGAACCTTCTGAGCAGTCAGAGGTCAAACTGAGGACGGAAGGAACGAAGACCAGTTTGACCTTCCCAGGTGGTGTCTCCTGGGTTCCCAGAGTTCACCTCAGGTGGGGGGAGTGTGAAGAAATGGGCTTCGAATCCTTCCCTGGGGTGTAAAGCCCAATCCTTTCATTTTAAGGCTAAATATTGTTAACCGGCCCCCACAGGAAACCCCACAGGAAATCAAGTTTTAGCTCAGCCTCTGCGCCAATTCAACCGCAGTTTCAAAACAGGGCAGATTCGGGTGGCGATTGAGAAAGCAAAACTTCTCTGTGTAGCCAGCAGCTAAGATTCTGCTTTTGCTCAACTGGCTTCCAAAGCACTTGCAAACGTATGGAACATCTCTTATCTCCTCTGGGAGTTCCTCAGGGCGGGGCGATTGGCTGGACAAACACCCTCCCACCTTCCCAGCCCCTCCCTCGCCCCCAGCATCTTCCGAAGCACAGTGCCTGGCCCCAGGCATTCCTAACTCCTGATTATTAAGTTACTTTGTTAATCAGTCCAGTGTTTATTTTTAAATTCAAGGTTCAATAGCCCCCGAGGTGCTTTGGGAATCGAACCCTCTGCCGAATGCCCACCGAGCTCGGTCAGGTGGGTGGTCCCGGGGACTCTGCTCTGCCCGCCAGGAGGCACTCTTGCAGGTCCCTGAGGGAGAGAGCTCTAAGGGTGCCATGACCCCCAGCCGGAAAGGTGGCCACGGAAAGCCAGGACCGAAGCTTGACTGGGCCTTTCTGAGTCCGCGAGACCCCATCCTCAGTTATGGGGCGTCTCATTGCCATGCCAAGTTCCACCGGTTGGCACACGGCGTAGTCACGTTTTGTACACCACGGAGACGTTTCTCTGGGGGAACTGAGGATCACAGTGCTCTTGCTGCCCTTTGAAAACCACCAATCTAAGTGCCCCTTAGGGATGTCACCTTTCGCCTGTGAGATACAGGGGCTGAACGCGTCCTGTGGGCCTGACCGAGCTGGGCGCTGGGGTCTGTAGTGATGGCTCTGAGGCCTCACAGCGGGAGCCACTGACTTGACTTTGGAAATTTCTCACACGCAGAAGACCTGCGCTCCCAGCTGCCTTTCCAAATGGCCCTGGCTGCTGGTTCTCTGCTCACTTGAAAGTCACCAGACCCATCTCCCAACTACCGACCGGGGCCTGTAGGAGGTCGCCCCAGGGGCCAGCTTCATCTCGCACAGAAGGCTCCAGGCGTCAGGAACACCTGGCCCAAAGCGATATCAGATCCTGGGAACCGGTTCCTGAAAACCCTTTCTGGCCGGTTTGCCTTCTGAGGGACTAGGATCTTGCCGATCTTTCTGCTTGTAGGGTGACTAGAAGTGAATATGGAGCCATATTGATTGTAGGGTGACTAGAGCAGTGCCTGGCGGCTCCTGAGAAGACACCTTCCCCCATGTTACCTGGCTCAGGTCTCTGCTCTCAAGCCCAGACTGCAGTGTCCCCCGTCTTACCTTCTGCGGGTGCTGTTCCTCAGTCCCCGAGGCAGATTTGATGATTGTCCTGGAGGCGCTGGGACAAGGCTGGTGACAAGGATGTCCGGGGCTATCTGAGTAAAAGGAGAAGTGGAGGGGGAATAAATGTCATCACACTGCAAGGACAGGAAGCCCAGAGGAGGCGAGGGAGGAAGTGAGGCGGGGCCCGCCCCCCTTGAGAGTCAGAGATGCAGTCCTTCCCTGAGGCTTTTTAGAAATCTGCTCCCCTGACCCGCCCAGATACCGGCACTGGCTTTTAGGAAACAGGAAAACGCCAAGACCAGGCTGGTTCAGGCACGAATCCGCGAGCACGGTGGGCTCTTGCTTGGATGATGTGGGCATTATTATTTTTGTCTGGAAAAGCTCAGTCAAGGTGGCAGCTCAGAATTACCCATGGATCTGTTCGAGAAGGAGTTTGGCCTCACCAGCAGTTTCCATTCAGGCAGACGGAGATCGGAGTACAGGCCAGAAATCAACGCTTTAAAACGTTTTCTAAGACTGAGATTTAGGAATGTCTGTTAAGCCTTCTCCCCACCCGCCCTCCGGCTGCCTTCCGGGAGCTCTCTAGTCTCCAGGTCAATGGGGCACCGTTCCCAGACTTCTGCATCTCAGGCTGGAGGTCAGCCCTCAGGCACAATCCAAGGGACACGGTAGAAATGATGGGGTTCACAGAGGGAAGCCCGGATTTAGAGCCCAAAGATCTGGGTCTCAGTCCCCGCTTCGTCTGTTAGCCGTGCGAGACCAAGTGAGACCAAGCAGACCTCAGCCTCTCAGCTTTGGGTTATTAATTCTAATATAAAACAATAATAACAACAGGAATGGAGCCACTTTAAATTGGAGCCGGAGCTGCCATCCCCGAGGGACTGCCTCGCAGGTCTTACTCCTCAAACCTTCGGAATGATAGGACGGGGCCTAAAGCAACATTGTATTCCAGACAACTGTCTGCGACGATAACAGGGAAGATAACCTGACCACTGACTGAAAATTAAAGACATTCTTTACGAACAGCACCACGGCATCCTGGCCCGTGTGGCTCAGTGGTTGAGCTTCGTCCACGCACCAGAAGGTCTCCGGTTTGATTCCCAGGTCAGGGCACGAGCCCAGGTTGCGGATTCGGCCCCCAGTCGGGGTGGGGGAGTGTATGGGAGTCGTAGGGAGTCTTCTCTCTCACATCAATGTTTCTCTCTCTCCCTTCCTCTCTCTCTAAAAGAATCAATAAAAACACATTTAAAAAAATGGCAGCAGTATGTTGGCGTATCTGCACCTATAGAAATTCCTTCCTTTTATGGATGTACATGGTCCCCTTCCGTTTCTCATGAATACCCTTCGCCTCTTCCTCCTAATCAGAACCCTATCTGGGTTTCTGCCTGAATCAGTGCTCCCGGAAGAGCTGTTCTATTGGATCTCAAATAAATGCTTGTTGCCTCTCACCTTGGCCTTTTATTTTTAGGTTAACAGTAACATCTAATTATAACCCTACTGAATAGTTCCATTTATACCCCATTACAGAAGAAAAATAGAGGCTCAAAGAAGTTAGCTACTTTCCTCAAGATGATACAACTAAGAAATGGCAGAGCTGGGGACTCAAGCTCAAGGTCACAATGAATGCTGTTCCAAGAACACTGATTGGTAGTTTTTCAGGATGCTTTTGTTGGTGTGTGTGTGTGTGAGAGAGAGAGAGAGAGAGAGAGAGAGAGAGAGAGAGAGAGAGAGAGAGAGAGAGAGAAACATCAATGCCCCGACCAGGGATTGAACCTGCAACCTGACCAGGAATCGACCCACAGAAGTGGCTAAGAAGTGGCTATGATCTCCTCCTGACCCCCCTTACCCCCCCCCCTCCAGCCTTGACTGTACATCTCTAGCCCCTCCTCTCCATCAGCAAAGGACTGCACAGCCCTGGGACACGCATCAGGAACTCTAGGGTCGCTGTGTCGCCTTCCCTTTGCTTCTCCTCAGAAGGGGTCTAAGTCCGGACGCCAAGAGGCTCCTTTGTTAGCCGCCCACTCCTGAGCCTCAAAGAACAAACACGCCAGGGGGTGGCCATGCTAACAGGGGTGTCCAGGGCCCGGCAAACACAGGCACCCATCCTGAGCCCAGGGAAGTCATTGGCAAATGTCGCTTTGAGGCGCCACTTACAGAAGAGAAGTCAGTTACAGAGACTCAGAGGCTTAATAAATGCAGGGCAGGGAGGTCATCCACAGGAGCTGTGGCCCTCCCTAAATGCCCCCTCCTCCTCCCCCTCCTAGGGCACACCAGCTCTCCCTGACCCACAGGACGCACATTTGGCTAAACAGGACCTCTGTGTTTTTGTATATTTTTCCAGAAAGAAAAATAAAGGAAGCTATAACGAAGGTCTAGTTAAAATAAGATATATGTGCATGTTAAATAAAGACGTCTGTCAGCAGAAGTCTTTATTCAAATAAAGTTGTAAATAGAACAGCAATAAATAAGATAGATAAAGCGGAACTGCTCGGGGAGGGGAGCGTAGGGGCAGGGCTCAGGATGCTCACCCTCCTCCCCTCTTTGCTGGCTCCTTAGTCACCTTTGCCCAACTCTAAGGATGGAAAACCGGGGGGCCAGGTGGCCAGAGCCCTGGTTCTTTGCGGGCGTCGGGGTTTAATGACAGCTGTGGGACCGGGCGGCGTTTCAGCTGCGAGACGCCCCAGGCTCCGTGTTCTGTTGCCAGGTCTCAGCGGAAGTAAGAAGCCAGTTCTGCACCCAGTGAGCCTCTTCCCATTTGGGAGGCTGACACGGTGGCTTCCCACAGACGAAGGGTGGGGAGGTGCTTTCCCAGCTGCAGCCGACCGCGCTGGCCACCAACATCCTGAGCCTTCGCCACCCGATGGGAGTCCATGAGCTCGTAGGAGGTGCAACTCGGCACTGGGGGCCGCCAGGGGGTCAAGGGCTCTGGCATGTGCCCTGATGCACGACCCTCCCTCCCGGCCACACAGAACCAGACAGGGATCCCCGGGGAGCCCTGGCGTATGCAGGGAGTTCCTTACGCTCAGCTCACCGCTCACCTCTCAGCTCACCGCTCACCGCTCAGCTCACCGCTCACCGGGCAAGGAGAAGAGCCACCGAGTTGTCAGGTGGTGTGGTGCAGGGGAGAGAGGCCTGGACTCAGAAACGGAAGTGCCAGATTCTAGTCTTTGTTCTATAATTAACCAGCGAAAGTCCACCCCAGGAGACCACTTCCCTCTCCGCGAGAGAAGAGAGACTGGCTAATTCATACATCCTCTCTGGGCCTTAAACAGTCTGAAGGTTCACTACTTTATCATGTAAAACATGAATTCTTGCTACAGGGCAGTTCAAGCAGAGTTACAAGACCTTTTTTTTAAAAATATATTTTATTGATTTTAGAGAGGAAGGGAGAGGGAGAGAGAGAGAGAGACATCCATGATGAGAGAGAGAGAGAGAGAGAGAGAGAGAGAAACATCCATGATGAGAGAGAATCACTGATAGGCTGCCTCCAGCACCCTGCCCGGGAATCAAACTGTGACCTCCTGGTTTATAGGTCAACGCTCAACCACTGAGCCCCGCTGGCCCCGCACAAGACCTACTCTTTCCCGAGCTCTTCCTATGGGCCAGACTGCGCTGTCCTTGCTCTCGCTTGGTGGCCATGAGACAGGCCTGGCCTTTCGTCCTTCGTAGAGGAGAAAGGCTGGGCTCGGTGAGCTAAGAAAGTGGCCACGCCTGGGTTTTACACTTGCCCGTGAACAAAAGCCTGCTGTGCTATCCAGCTCCCCGGCTCCCCCTGAGCTAATCGGACACGAACACCTGCCACAGAAGAGTCTCTGACGGTTAACTGAGAGCTGGCTTTGACTTTCCTAGTTTACAAGAGGAGCAGGAACAGGGCAGTTGTCTCCTCATAAGGCCAAGCCTGAGAGCGTTTGCAGACACCCAGGGCGGCATGTGTCATTTCCCAGCCTGGGCACTGAGGAACCCCAGTGAATGAATGGCCAACATCATCTTTCTGCTTAACTCAAAAGAAGAAGAAAGCTTCAGTTGGGAAATTTAGGCAAGAGATACTCCCTTCCTGTAGGAGCCACACAAGGAGGCAGGCTCCCCTGCGAGTGTGATGCTGACCTCAGCTTCTCTACTCTGAAGTCTACTCAGCTGAGTTGCAGCAAGAACAAACACACGCCCACCACGCCCGATGCCGGCAGCACGGGGAGCGAGTCCAAGCAAGAGCCTGGCAGAGAGCCTGGCAAAAGAGATGGCACTTAATTAAAACGAAGGCTCCCCCCCACCCCCCACTGCCAACTGAGTCTGCCCCCACAGCAGCAGAGGAGGCAGAGGTTGGTGTGGGCCCTTAGCCCCGCCTCCTTTCCCCAAATGTCCATTTCCACTTCCAGGTCCTAGAGAGCGAAGGATTAGAACATGCCAAGTCTACTCCAGCAGAAGGAACTGAAGCTCCAGATATTTTTCTTTTCTTTTTTTTTTTAAGTTGAAGCCCTCCTCTTTCTCCTCCTCCTCTTCCTCCTCCTCCTTCTTTTTTTTTTTTTTAATGTATTTTTATTGATTTCAGAGAGGAAGGGAGAGGGGAGAGGGAGAGAGAGATAGAAACATCAATGATAAGAGAGAATCATTGATTGGCTGCCTCTTGCACGCCCCAAACAGGGGATGGAGCCCACAACCTGGGCATGTGCCCTGACTGGGAATCGAACCATGACTCCTGGTTCATAGGTTGATGCTTAACCACTGAGCCATGCCAGCTGGGCTCCGCATTCTTAATGTATAATTAGCACCTTATAATTATGATTGCTATTATTATGTTTGAACAAGTTTATTTTTTAGAGCAGTTTTAGGTTCTCAGCAGGAGAAAGTATAGAGTACAGTACTGAGTGGAAAGTACAGAGATTTCCCATGGGCTCTCTGTACCCACACTTGCATCGCCTCCCCCACTATCCACCTCCCCCACCACAGTGGCCCATTTGTTACAACCAATGAATGTACATGGACACATCACAATCACTGAAGTCCATAGTTTACACTAGGGTTCACTCTTGGTGTGGTGCCTTCCATAGGTTTTGACAAATATATAATGACACGTATCCCCCATTATAACATCATACAGAGTTTCTGTGCCCTAAAAGTCCTCTGTGCTCTGC